TAACCCAGTGATGATGACGCTCACCAAAAGCAGATCCTTCTCATCTTCCTATGCTGTTTCTGCAGCTAATCACGTGAAGGCTAAAAAGCAAAATCGAACAGGTAAGCAACTCATTGGGGAAAGCCTTCATCCTCGCTGGGTATGCAGACAAGAAGTGAGCGAAGCTTATGTGCTGAAATAAATGCATATTCTCTCAAGGTGGCTGTACTAGACTTCCTATCTTGAACTTATTGGATATGGGAAATCGATGTCACCATTGCTGATAATCTCCAGAAGCATCACTTTTAATAAAAAAGCTAATAATATACTTATAAAATTTCAATTTTATTTTTAAAGTCTTTTAAAGTTATTTTTCAGAAGTATGGTATTTACGTATATGAGTTCAAGGAAATGCTTCACTTACAATACCTATTATAAGTTTTTTTAAAGAAATCCTTACTTTATGTCACCCACTCCCCCAAAATATATATATGCTGAAAGGAAAAGGTATTTAAAGAAAATATAATTCAGAGTCTTTGAGAGCTTTTTGTAAAAGCCTACAAGTCAGTAACCAAAAGACTCTAACAATATGGTGGGTAAGTTTTTTTCCCTTGGAGATAGGTGCAAATACTAAAATTTTGATGTGAGTTTTCCCATCCAGGGTTTGGTATCTGAACTGCATGGAAATTTCCAGGTTGGGAATAATACACCATTTATACTCCTAAGCAGAAGCATCTCCCTTGCTGCAAGCTTCATTTACTCAACAAATATTTGGGGAATGTTTACTGTCTGAGACACTGAACTAGGTTCAGGGATATAGCAGTGATTAAGACAGATCCAGTTCCTTCAGAATTTATATTCTAGTTGAGAATGTAGACAAGTCAGAGCTATTACTGTGCAGTATGTTAAGCGCTATGATAAGGAAGTAAGAGAAAACTTCCAAATGATGAAAGAGAAGAAAAGAGAAACAAGAGGAACCGTTGAGGGAGCTCAAAGAACTTAAGACTCCACATGGCTGGAAAAGGTAGCAAGCAGAAAGGGAAG